TTGCAGGTATTCTTATTAGAAATAGATCTTAGGTTTACCAAATGCTGTTTATGTGTCTATTGAGATGATTCTACGTATATAGAGAAATTTTAATTATTCTAAATGGCTTATTACAGTGACATAGTTTTCAAAAGTTAAACCAACCTTGAATTCCTGGCATTTACCTATTAGTTCTTGCATTTATGCTTATTTTGGCATGCAATCTTCTTTTCTTGCAATGTTTTTCCTGTATATTATGGGGATATTTTTCCATATTGTTGAGACAATATTCTTTTCAGTATTGTACTCAATGCCCCATGAATTATGATGTTTTTCCTATGTCTGGTGGGAACAACAACTATTCCCAGCCCTGTAAGAGCTCCAGGGATTGCTCCTTCTAATCTTTTTGGGTAGATGGTTTCCCTGACTTAGGTGATTTCTTCACATGCATATACTGATCACTACTTATCTGAAGACTCATTGGGACCCTCTCCTGCCCTTCGAAAGCTAAGCCCATTGGCTTCCCAGAACTCAGTTCATTTTCCTCAATTCATTTGCTACTGAGCTTTGCCTGGATTCTTTTCCCGGCACAGTGGCCTATAGCTTCTCTTCAGGCAGTAAGCTGGGGCAGTCATAGAGTTTGCATCTTTTTTTTTTTTTTTTTTTTCTGTTTCTCAAGGATCACTGTCCTTCCTTGACTAATAATCAATGTCTTGGAAACCATTTTGTTTATTTTGTCTATTTCGCCAGGTCTTTCAGGCAGGAGTGTAAATTAGTTCTTTGTTATTCCATGGTGGCCAGAGTAGAAGCTCAGGATGCTGCTTTTTAAATTTTTCAAGAGGCTTTAATTTTACTTAGTGGAAATTATGGGCTATAATGGGCTTATTTTACCTTGGCTGCCCCTATTAATATCAAATATATAAATATAAATATACCAGAAGGCTTCTTAGCTACATTAAGGGCATCTTCAAAAATCTCACAGGGAACATCATGTTAAATACTTATAATATTTATAATGATTTATTATAAGTATTTCCTTTACAATGAAGGAGAATAGAGGAGTGCTCACTATGGTTGCCTTTATTTAGCTGGTAAATAAAATTTATTTTAGCCAATGCAATGCGTTAAGAAAAATTAGTAAAAGATAATATTTGATGATTGAAAAGAACAAAGCACATTCATGAAATATCCACAGTTGATATCATTATCTATTTTTGAAATCTAAAAGATTTATAGATAAAATATTAGAATGATTGTAATGTAGCAAATTGGCTAGATTTAACATTGATATTTACAAAACGATGGATTTTAGCTTAGTAAGCAATATCAGAAAATGTGGTACCCCAAAATTATAATACCTAGAGAAATATTTACCTAGGAATAAATGTAAAAATGAATTGTTAACCATTTATGGAGAAAATTATTTTGTTGAAGACATGAAAAGGAAATAAATCAATATGAAGATATACTAATGAGTAGGAAAACTCAAAATTAAAACAGTGTTTGGTAAATATATGGAAAAATATACCATTCGAACAGAGCAGAGAGAGTAGAGATAGACCCACAAATTATATGAAAATATGTTTGTATTAGTTTGTGCTATGGCATGAATCTTTGCATCCTCCACAATTCATATATTTAAATCCTAATCTCCATGATGATGGCATTATGAGATGGGGCTTTGGTGGGTGATTAGATCATGAGGGCTCTACATCACGTATTTTGTTACAAAATCCAGACAAGACAGTCTCTTGGGAGTAATAAAGTACCACAAACTGTATGACTTAAACAACAAAAATGCATTGTGTCATGGTTCTGGAGGTTCAAAGTCCAAGGTCAAGATTTCAGCAGAGTTGATGACCTGTTAGGGCTGTGAGGGAAAGCTCTGTTCCAGGACTCTCTCATTGGCTTGTAGTTGGCCATGTTTTTCCTGTGGCTCTTTACATCATCTTCCCTCTGTGTGTCTCTGTCTCTATGTCTAAATTTCCCCCTTTTTAAGGAAATTAGGGGTATTGGATTAGGGGCCCATCCTACTGCAGTGTGACCTCACCTTAACTAAGTATATTAACAAGAACTGTATAGCCAAATAAGGTCACATTTTGAGGTAGTAGGGGTTAGGATTGTAACGTGAATTTTGAGGGGACACAGTTCAACCCATAACAGTCTTATGTGACAAAACTGGCAGTACAGATCAGTTGAGAAAAAATGAACAATGCAGTCAGTATTGCTATAGTAATTAGTTATCCACATGCAAAAAATGAAAAGTGATACTTACTTCAAGCTAGATACAAAAAATAACTCCAGATTAAAAACTTGAATGGTAAAAGCAAACCTTTACAGTTTTTAGAAAAAAAAGAATATATCTTATGAAAGGTGTTCTAATGACATAAAAAGATTAATAAATTTGACAACATTAAAATTAACAACTCCTGTTTTTTATGACACCTGAGAATGAAAAATCAAAAAGAAATTCAGAATATGTGTAACACAAATGATGAATAAGGAATTTGTGTCTACAATATTTAAAGTACTTCTAGAATCAATAATAAAAAGAAAAATAATCCAGTAGAAGAATGAACAAAAGACATAAGCATTGTAGAGACTGAAGCGTGAAAAAGTATTCAATCCCTTTAGTAATTAGGAAACTGTTTAAACCCTCAATAAGATGATATTCACACCAACAACACTGGGAAGCATTAAAACATGGATAATATCAAGCTTTGATGAAGACATAAAATAATGAGAACTCTCATTTCCCACTGGTGGGAGTGCAAGGTGGAACAACATTGTAAAATTATATGGCAATATATATTAAACCATTTTGTAAAATAATATAGCAATACATATTATAACAAAGGGGATTACACAGTTTCTCTTCTTGCTCTCCTATTGCCTCATGTTTTCAAATACTTATGGCTCAAATCTATTTCTGAAGTTGAGCAGTTCTATTTCTAAGTGTATTCTTGAGAGACACCCTTGCACGCATGCACCAGGAAACATATTCGAGAATATCATAGCAAAACTTTCCACTGCTTTTAGTAGAAAAACCCCAGAAATAACAGAAATGTGCATAAACAGTTGATTTCTTCAGTGAATTATCTCTAAATGTAAAAGTTGATATAGAACTTCATCAACTAGGATGAACCTCAAAAAAAGTGGTGCAAATCACAGAACACATTCAGCTGGATGTGTTTATATAAAATCAAAACAAGCAAAATGAAACAATGTATACCCGTTATCTCTTATATGCTGTGTTTTTAAGAAACTATAAAACATATTATATATGCAAAAGCAGTTGGCGACACCTTATATTTCATATAATAAACATTCAGGTATCTCCTTCCCAACTTAAAAAGTAACACACTACAAATCATTAGAGGCATAGTGTGTCTCTCCTTCATCTTATCCCCCTTTCTCATTCTCGTGGATAACCACTAAATCTGAATTTGTTTTAAAACTATCATTGTCTTACACTTATTTAGGGGCATATACATATATAGTAAAAGCTGAGGACTATTCACAGGATACTAGCTTGGGTCCTCAAATGGGTAATGACACCATTATCAGATTTAGGAACACAGGAAGAGGGACACAATTAAATTTGTAACTCTGGTTTTGAAGGGATTAACAGTGAAATGCCTCTGATGTATCCAAGAGTAGATGTCAAAGAGGCAACGAAATATTAATATCTGGAGCTTAGATGAGAGGTAAGTGTTACAGAGATAGATTTGGGCAATAAGTATTTGAAAACATGAGGTGATAGGCGAGCACCAAGACAAAAAGGAAAATCACTGTTCCTAAAAGCTAGGCTTATTCTCTTGCACCTACCTACTAAATGATCCAAGCCCAGCTGTCCCTCCTGATTTTACTCTCCAGGCTTATTCCTCTATTCATATAGACTAGATCCAGGACTTCAGGCTTCACAATGATTTCCTTCTAAGTTATGTTGACTCCTGTCATATAATATTTTTTACATATAATATTTTTCACCAAAATATATTTTCTTAGTACTATCAAAACCATTGACAGAACAGCAACTAAACAGATTTTTAATGGGAATTTTTGAAAGGTGATGTTTCAAATATCCAAAAGATAAATTAAGTAAGTCTACCTTTACTAGTAAGTGAATAAATGTGCATTCTAAAAACATTCAGATTAGATAGAATTTCATCTATCAATTGATAAACATTTAAAATGGAAACACAAATAATTTTAAGGAATCAATCACAGGATTGAGGTTGGTCTCCTTGAGCAGCTGGAGAGAAGGGACAGAGTTGATACAATTCTCTGGGAGGCGGAATATATGTTGCAAAATATTTTTATATCCTTAGTTGCAGTATTTCCACTACTGGGAATATGACCTATGGAAATATTCAGATGTGCAGACAAAAAAAAAATGTCATATTTGTAGAACGTTTCTTCATAGTTAGACTAAAATCTAGAAATAATGTAAATATTCAGCACTGAAAGAATGGATTACGAATTATTATACGTTGAAATATTCTATAGCGCCTCAATTTGTGGTTTTCAAGGTTGCTTAATAACACAAAGTAATGACAGATTGCTTAATGAAAAATAAACTCATACACAACACAGTATTTAAGAAACATAAGATTTAGATCTGCATATGAACCAATACAGGGCCATTTCTGATCCATTTGAGTTAGGTATAAAGTAGGAGTCCAACTCATTTATTTGTATCTGGATATCCAGTTATTCTAGCACATTTGTTACAAAGATGATTACTTCCCCCCATTAAATGGTCTTAGAACCATTGTGGAAAATCAGAGTTCTACTTTTAAAATCAAAAAAACAAAATCAAGGTATACAGGGGAAAAAAATAAAAATAAAATGTAGAATGAGTATGTCTGGTAATAGAACAGTGACTGATTTTTTTCTCCATTATTTGTTAACCATTGTCCAATTCTTCCTCATAATATCTATTGGTTCTATCATTAGAAAAAATATGAAATATTATTAAAGGTTATTCTTTTTAACCTCTTTAATCTTTTCTTTTTAAGGATACTGTGATAAAGCGGACATGTGCTGACACACCTGTTGATCATTGTCTATCTGGCATAAGAGAGCGTAGCAGCACCTTTAAGCTTAAAAGTGAAATCAACACGGATGAAACAGCCCTGGGAATTCGGAATCTAAATTTGAACAATAGAGAATGTTGTTTCACCTTCACTTTGAATGAAAACTCCGGAAAATTAGACCACAGTGTGTTTACAGCCTATGGTAATCCCAGTGAGAGTATCGACTCAGCTCTGAGTGCTAATGAGCATTTCAGTGAAAGGATGAAGAATCATTGTAATAAGAATATTATTGTTTATGAAGAAAAAACAATAGTTGGATATATAAATTTAGGAATGCCTCTCAAGTGCCTGCCTATTGATTCTCATTTTAAAATTACAATTGGTAAAAAAAATAGTAGTGAAGAAGATGGACACATATTACGTCAATATGAAAATCCAAACATGGAATGCATTCTTTTTTATGTTGTTGCTATTGGAAGGACAATAAAGAAGATTGTTAAGATCAAGACACTTCATGAAAAAGGAAGTAAACTTTGTATTTATGCCTTGAAGGGTGAGACTATTCAAGAAGCCTTATGCAAGGATGGCCGATTTCGGTCTGACATAGATGAATTTAAATGGAAACTAATGGAAGGTCATAAGAAAATCTATGGAAAACAGTCCATTGTTGATGAAGTATCTGGAAAAGTGTTAGAAATGGACATTTCAAAAAAAGAAACATTACAAAAGAAAGGCATCCATAAAAAAATTAAACAGAATGAAAATGCCACTGATGAAATTAATCACCAGAGTCTGGTCCACAAACAAGAGAGAGATGGAGAGACCGAAGATGTAGAACACAGCAGAGAGAAAATTCTCCAACCTCAGAATCTAGGGCATGATATTAAAGGTAAAACTCACCAGACAGTTCCTGGGATTAGAACTAATTACATTGGTAGTTTGGACAGTAAATATAGGAAAATAACCTCACAAGTTAAGCAGAGGCCGCATCTGGGTAGGCAGTGTGCTATTAATCTGGATGTCCAAAAGGAGGCAACTAACCTCTTAAAGAATTTGCAAATGTTGAATGAAACCATAATATCTCAGTATCCAAATTTTAAAGAGGAGGCACAGTGGGTGAGAAAATATTTTCAGGAAGAACAGAAGAGAATGAATCTTTCACCATCTAGCCAATTCGACATATATGAAAAGTCATTTGGAAAAACTACTGCAAATTCTATTTCAGTTGCAACCTGTGAACAACTTACTTATCTTAGCAAGTCAGTTGGGTTCCTGAAATGGAAAAATAATGGAAACACAGGCAATGCTACTTGCTTTGTCTTCAATGGTGGTTATATTTTCACCTGTCGACATGTTGTAGAACTTATAGTGGGTAAAAACACAGATCAAAGCTTGTGGCCACAAAAAATTAGCCGACGTGCAAAGGTAACCTTCACTTACACAGAGTTCAGCCCTACTGGTAACAACTGGTTTCTTATTGAGCCATGGCTTGAAATGTCCAATGAAACTCTAGATTATGCCATTTTAAAACTAAATGAAAATGGAGATGCATTTCCTCCGGGCCTATGGCGACAAATTTCTCCTCCACCATCTACTGGTTTGATTTATTTAATTGGTCATCCCGAAGGCCAGATCAAGAAAATAGATGGTTGTGCTGTGATTCCTGTAAATGAACGATTGAAAAAATATCCAAATCATTGTCAAGAGGGGTGGGTAGATCTCCGTGGTGCCAACAGTAATGTATGCCATATGTTTACCCAAAGAAGTTTCCTATCAGAGATTTGGAACACACAAATGCTTAGTTATGATACTTGTTTCTCTGATGGATCCTCAGGCTCCCCAGTGTTCAATGCATCTGGAAAATTAGTTGCTTTGCATACCACTGGGCATTTTTATAAACATGGACATAATGTGTATGCCCTTATTGAATTTGGTTATTCTATGGATTCCATTCTTTGTGATATTAAAGAGACAAATGAGAGCTTGTATAATTTATTAAATGATGAGAAACTTGAGACTTACAATGAAGAGAAAAATAAACAAAAATTACCACTTCAAGATCATCAGATTGAACCCATGGAATGTTAGAAAACAGATGCTGTCTTCAATAAAATATGCCAGTAATTTTTGGCAAAGATTTCATGACAAGGACACCTAAAGCAATTTCAACAAAACTAAAAATTGGCAAGTGATAACGAATTAAAGCTACTGCAGAGCAAAAGAAACTATCAACAGGGTAAACACACAACTTACAGAATGAGAGAAAACATTTGCAAACTAAGCATCCAGTAAAGATATAATATTCAGAATCCATTAGGAACTTAAACAGATTAACAAGCAAAAAACAAGCAACCCCATTAAAAAGTGGGTAAAGGGCATGAACAGACACTTTTCGAAAGAGGACATACATATCGCCAACAAGCATATGAAAAAATACCAAATATCATTAGTCATTAGAGAAATGCAAACTGACAAAATGTCATCCCACTAATCAAAATGGCTGTTATTAACATGTCAGAAAATAACAGATGCTGGCACAGTTGCAGAGAAAGAGGAATGCTTACACACTGCTGGTGGGAATGTAAATTAGTTCAGCTATTGTGGAAAGCAGTTTTGTGATTTCTCAAGGAACTTAAAACAGCTACCATTCAACTCAGCAGTCTCATTCCTGGGTATATAACCAAAGGCATATAAAGTGTTCTACCTTAAAGACACATGCATATATATGTTCATTGCAGCACTATTCATGATAGCAAAGACATAGAATCAACCTAAATGCCCATCAGTGGTAGACTGGATAAAGAAAATGTGACACATATACACCATAGCATACTACACTGGCCAGAGCAATAAAGCAAGAAAAAGAAATAAAGGGTATTCAATTAGGAAAGGAGGAAGCCAAACTGTCTCTTTTTGCAGATGACATGATTGTATATCTAGAAGACCCCACCATCTCAGCCCAAAATCTTCTCAAACTGATAAGCAACTTCAGCAAACTCTCAGGATACAAAATCAATGTGCAGAAATCACAAGCATTCCTATATACCAATAACAGACAAACAGAGAGCCAAATCAAGAGCGAACTCCCATTCACAATTGCTACAAAGAGAATAAAATACCTAGGAACACAATTAACAAAGGATGTAAAGGAACTCTTCAAGGAGAACTACAAACCACTGCTCAACAAAATAAGAGAGGACACAAACCGATGGAAAAACATTCCGTGCTCATGATTAGGAAGAATTAATATCGTGAAAATGGCCATACTGCCCAAAGTAATCTATAGATTCAATGCTATCCCCATCAAGCTACCAATCACCTTCTTCACCTGGAAAAAACCACTATAAACTTCATATGGAATCACAAGACAGCCCTCATAGCAAAGACAATCTTAAGTAAGAAGAACAAAGCTGGAGGCATCATAATGCCAGACTTCAAACTATACTACAAGGCTACAGTAATCAAAACAGCATGCTACTGGTACCAAAATAGAGACATAGACCAATGGAACAGAACAGAGGCCCCAGAAGAAACACCACACATCTACAACCATCAGATCTTTGACAAACCCAGCAAAAACAAGCAATGGGGAAAGGACTCCATGTTTAATAAATGGTATTGGGAAAACTGGCTAGCATTGTGCAGAAGGCAGAAACCAGACCCCTTCCTGACACCTTACACTAAAATTAAACTCCAGATGGATTAAAGATTTAAACATAAAACCTGGGAACCCCATAAAAACACTAAAAGAAAACATAGGCAAAACCATCCAGGACATAGGCATAGACAGGACTTCATGACTAAAACACCAAAAGCAGTGGCAATAAAAGCCAAGATAGACAAATGGGATCTAATTTAAAATTTAGAGCTTCTGTACAGCAACAGAGTGAATCGGCAACCAACAGAATGGGAAAAAATTTTTGCAATCTACTCATCTGATAAAGGGCTAATATCCAGAATCTACAAAGAACTAAGACATACAAGAAAAAAACAAACCTATTCAAAAGTGGGAGAAGGATATGAACAGACACTTTCAAAAGAAGACGTATATGAGGTCAACAAACATGAAGAAATGCTCCTCATCACTGGTCATTAGAGTAATGCAAATCAAAACCACATTGAGATATCATCTCATGCCAGTTAGAATGGCGATCATTAAAAAATCTGGAGACAACAGATGCTAGAGAGGATGTGGAGAAATAGGAACACTCTTACACAGCTTGCAGGAGTGTAAATTAGTTCAGCCATTGTGGAAAACAGCGTGGCGATTTCTCAAGGATCTAGAAACAGAAATTCCATTTGATCCAGCAATCTCATTACTGGGTATATACCCAAAGAACTATAAATTGTTCTACTATAAAGACACATGCCCAAAGAACTATAAATTGTTCTACCAAAAAGGCACATGCACACATATGTTCATTGCAGCCCTGTGTACAATAGCAAAGACCTGGAACCAACCCACATGCCCATCAATGATAGACTGGACAAAGAAAATGTGGTACACATACACCATGGAATACTATGCAGCCATAAAAAACAATGAGTCTGTGTCCTTTGTAGGGATGTGGATGAATCTGGAAACCATCATTCTCAGCAAACTGACACAAGAACAGAAAGCCAAATACCATATGTTCTCATTCATAGGTGGATGTTGAACAACAAGAACACGTGGACTCAGGGAGAGGAACATCACACACTGGGAACAGTTGGGGGGTAGGGGAGAGAACAGGGGGTGGGGAGGGAGGGATGGGTGAGGAGGTATAACATGGGGAGAAATTACTGATATAGTATGCACCTAAAGTAAAATAAATAAATTTTTTTTTAAAGTTAAAGATCATGCCCTTTACAACAACATGGATGGAGCTGGAGGCCATTATCCTAAGTGAACTAATACAGGAACAGAAAGCCAAGTATTTCATGTTCTTTCATATGTAGAAGCTAAATATTGAGTACACATGGACATGAAGAGAACAACAGATATAGGACCTACTTGAGGGTAGAAGATGGAAGGAGGGTGAAGAATTAAAAACTACCTGTGGGGTACTACGCTTATTACCTGGGTGATGAAATAATCTGAACACCAAACCCTGGTGACATGCAATTATAACAAAATTGCACATGGACTCTTGAACCTAAATAAAAGTTTATCTATATAATGCCAATAATTGAGAGTATTGGGGGCTGTTTTCTTTAATTAAATTTCCTGATTAGAAAACTGTTAGATAATTATGTGGATGTGCAAAACGTACTAGAGCTCAAATACTGATTTTATCTTGGCTTTTTAAAATTTTTAAACAAATGTCATGCCTCACTTCAAATGGTTAGCTCACTTTTACACTTAAAAATAATTTGTTATTTGTCATTCTAAATGCCTAGGATGGTATAACTTCATTACTGACAAGGTAGTTCTTGTTCTCTGCCTAACGATAGTGGTAAATACACTGTTAAAAAGGAAAAAAATATGTGTAGTTCCTCTACAGCTCAAAATTATTCAGTAAACATAATTTGTTTCCTTCCATGCTTCCTGTGACATCAGCTTCCATTGCAAATGGCAGTAGAAAATTACAGTTTTTCAGTTCTTTGCTCTAATTGAGGAATAGCTAACACTTTTCTAGTAGATGTGAAGAGTAGCTTGCTTAGTCTTTATCCCCATCCTCCTATTTTCAGAGTCTAGAAAGCTAGAAGCTATATATTTTAGAATGATTTGCAACTAAGATTCTGAATATAAATGAGATTCCTCCAAATAGATACTATTTGTAAGATAAAAGTAAAATGGGGGCCCTCTTTCTTCCACTCTGGCAAGCTGGGTCATAGAAAAGTGAATGTCTAGAGATAGTAATGCTGCTGACTACAGTGTCAGTGTCTAGTCACCAGTTTCATGGATATCCATAAGCAGTTTCAGCAGTAGCAACAACCAGAAGCAGTGTTGCAGTGTCTAGTCATTGACTTTGATGGGGTGGAAAGGTGTTTCTGATGGTAATGATTTCCTAATTCAGTTTCCTGATTTCTGGATTGCAGGTAAGAGAGATGTGTTTGTGAACTTAATAATTCCAGTGTTGGCCTCCTAATTCTCACTGCT